GGTATTTGAGATACGTAGTTTCTTGGGCATAGATGGTTATTATAGAAAGTTTGTGAAAGGATTTTCTCAGATTTCTGCACCTCTAACGAGACTGACTCAGAATTAGTAGTTTTTGTTTGGACACCAGAGTGTGAAGCTAGTTTTCAGAGATTGAAGGATTGTTTGACTTCAGCTCCAGTGTTAGCACTTCCGTCTGGTACGGAAGGATTTCAAGTGTTCAGTGATGCTTCACTGAAAGGTTTGGGTTGTGTCCTGATGTAGCAATATCAGGTAATTGCTTATGCTTCGAGACAGTTGAAACCACTTGAAAAGAATTACTCGACGCATGATTTAGAATTAGTTGCAGTTGTATTTGCTTTGAAGATTTGGCGTCACTACTTGTATGGCGTCAGGTGTGAGATATTTACAGATCATAAGAGTTTGAAGTACATCTTCACTCAGAAGGTTCTGAATTTGAGGCAAAGAAGATGGCTTGAGTTGATTAAGGATTATGATCTGACGATTCAGTATCAGCCTGATAAGACTAATGTGGTAGCCGATGCTCTGAGCAGGAAGTCTTCTGGATTATCAGGTATTCACCTTACTTCTGATGCGTATCTGATACGAGAGATGAAAATGCTACAGTTAGAGGTGATTTCCTCTACTAGTCCGGATTTTGGTGTGTTGACTCAGATGGACATTCAGTTTTCTTTGGAAGAGAGGGTTATTAAAGCTCAGAAGTCAGACTCTGAATATGTGAAGCTGATTGTTCAGATTGAATCTGGTAAGAAACCTGAACTATGACTTTCTGATTTTGGTATCATTTTATGTAAGAGCAGGCTGTGGATTCCTGTGTTTGGAGATCTGAGGAAGGAGATTTTGCACGAATCTCATTATTCAGGCTATACTATTCATCCAGGAAGTGGTAAGATGTACGGAGATATGAAGAGTTTATTTTGGTGGCCTGGAGTGAAAAAGGATGTATCGGAGTTTGTTTCGAAATACGAAACATGTCAGTTAGTGAAGGCAGAGCATCAACGACGAGGAGGTCTTTTGCAGTCGTTGTCTATCCCTTAGTGGAAGTGGGAGGATGTAACGATGAATTTTGCTATGGGTTTTCCTCGATCAAGGTAAGGACATGATGCCATTTGGGTGATTGTAGATCGATTGACAAAGTCTGCACATTTTCTTCCGATCAGACAGACGGATCCGGTGGACAAGTTAGCTCAGATATATGTTAAAGAAATTGTCAGATTATATGGTGTGCCTAAAGTGATTGTATCTGATCGAGATGGACGATTCACTTCCAGACTTTGGAAGGATATTCAGCAAGGCTTGGGTACGAAGTTGCATTTCAGTACGGCTTTTCATCCGCAGACTGATGAACAGTCTGAAAGGACTATTCAGGTACTGGAGATCTTCTGAGATTATGTGTTCTGGATTTTGGAGGTAGTTGGGAGGATCACATCCCTTTGATAGAATTTGCTTATAAAAACAGTTTTCAGTCCAGTATTGATATGGCACCTTACGAAGCTCTGTACGGCCGAAAGTGTAGAACCCCTTTGACTCTGACTGAAATGGGAGATAGACAAGAAATAGGTGCAACTTTTGTGGATGAAACTGTTCTGAAAATCAATCTGATTAAAGAAAAATTGAAAGCTGCACAAGACAGACAACAAAAGTATTACAATTTGAAGCATAGGCTGGTGAAATTTCAGGTTGGTGACTTTGTGTATGTCAAAGTCAGTCCGATGAAAGTGGTTAGCAGATTTGACAGGGTAAGCAAGCTCAGTCCAAGGTATGTTGGACCTTTTGAGATAATTGAAAGGATTAAAAATTCTTCTTATAGATTGTTATTGCCCGATCAAATATCTGACGTACATAATGTGTTTCACGTATCCTCTTTGAGAAAGTGAATCTCTGACTCTGAAAAGAAACTTTCTGTTGATGATGTGGAGATTCAGGAGAATCTGCAGTATAAGGAAGAGCCTGAACAGATTTTGACTTATGATGTGTGTAAGTTAAGAAACAAACAGATTCCGATGGTTAAAGTTCAGTGGAAGCATAGAACAGCACGAGAAGCTACTTGGGAGAAAGAGTCGGATATGAGACAGTCATATCCGTATCTGTTCTGACTCAGTTTTGTTTTGAAAATGTTCCTCGACATTTTTCTGAAGTTGAGGAGATTGTGAAAGTTGTTTTCCTTCCAGGATCATCCAGGACGAAGTTGTATCGTCCTGGGACGATCAATACTGGTTGTGAAGAAAATTCTGGCAGAGAAGTTCGTCCCAGGACGAACTGGGGTTCGTCTGGACGAAAATGCCTCCTGAGAGCAAATCGTTCCGGGATGATTTGGGATCGTCCAGGACGATCTGCATGGGTTTATATGGAAACAAGATCTTTTTGAAGAGAGAGAAAAGCCCAGGAGAGAGAAATTCAAAGGAAAAATAAGAAAAAGTGATTTTTGGGCGACTTCTGTCCGTTTTCGTCCGTAGTTGCAGTTGAGAAAGTTGACCGACTCGAGGTAAGACACATTCCGCCTTTCTCAATTTTCAGAAACGAGGATTTTGACACTTTTCTGTTTCGGATTTTGTTTCTGTTAGTGAATAATTGATTCCGTTTTGTACTGATAAATGTTTTACCTCGTAACTTTTGGTATGTTTCTGAGATGATAATTGTGCACGTTTTGAGTATTTTCTAGAATTTTTTTAACGGGTATTTTGAATTCCGTAGAGTTTTGATCGAATAACAATTTATCTGGATGTCTGAATTTACTGTTTCAGTACAATGAAAGTCTTAGAATGATGTTGTGTACTCTCTGTGGTAATTTGATAAATTTTTGAATCTGTGAATTTTGTGAAAAATTCCGTATACTGCAGTTATGCCGCTAGGGCTGTCAATATATGACACGACCCGAAAACCCGACTCGAATCCGACCCGATTTTTTCGGGTTCGGGTCAACCCGAACCCGTAACGGGTCAAGTTCGGGTTTAGTTTTTTGGCCCGTTTTAAATTTTGGGTCGGGTCCGGGTTGACCCGGAAACCAGATTTTGACCCGGAATTAACCCGCTTCGAGCCTTTGACCCGCGCTGTCCGCTCCGCTTGAGTTATCAACTATCGTCGCGATTCGTGCGAGTGCGATTTATTTTAGCATTTAGATGTTAGGGCTCATTTAGGGTAGCCCGCAGTCGCGTTCATTTCATTTCCGCCTTCTTCAGTCCTTCGTCTTCGTCTCTTCACTCCTTCATGGAGCTTCTCTCCTCGTCGGTGTCGTCGTTTATTCCTCTATTAGTATATTTTTAATCTTCTTCTTGCTCGAAGCCCGAAGGCTCGAAGCTTTTCAGTTTGTTCCTTCTTGCTAATTAGTTGCTATCATTTTAAAGTTATCTTGGTTAGTTGGTTGAAGTATCATCCTTGTTCGGTTATTTCTTCTGATTTAAGCTGTTATGCGATTTTGCTTTTGATTTGTCGATTAGGGCTTAGGGTTTATTGTATCTTGGTTTGTATGGCAATTAGTTGCTATCATTTTAGTATTTTTAGAGTTATCTTGGTTGAAGACTTGAAGTATTACTATTGAATGTTTTTTTGGGTTGTATGGCAGTATGGCACGTTGGGCTGTCGGTTTAACACTTTAACTATTAGTCTATTACTGGCTTAGGGTTTATTGTTCCCTGTTGGCTGTTGGTGCTGCACTGCTGCCTTTTGAAATTATTTGTTTCTGCCTTTCTGGACGCCGATTCAATTCTGTTACTCTGTTAGTCTGTTACTCTGTTAGTTTGTTACTCTTTTACATTCTTAGTTACATACTTACATACATTCAAACTTTCAAAGCATGTAAATCATGTAGTTTGTTGGCTGCAGCTGCAAGAAGTTAGTATTCAGCTAGGATATTCTTACTTCTTACTTCTTTAGCTCTTTCATATTAAATTTATGAATTATTTATGATATTTGGCTATGGACTTTTTGCTATCATGCTATGTATAATATGGATTAAATCCTTTAATTGGTTTATTAGATGGAGGATTCAAACACACTTCCGGAACATTTTATTGATGAGAATGAGGAAGTTCACATTGAAGATAACGTGGTAGAGCCATCTAATGATGGTTCAGTGGTACTTAAGAAGCGTAGAAGGATGACTTCCAAGGTTTGGGGGCATTTTGAGATGCTGTCTAATCCTACAGATGGTAAGCAAAGATGTAAATGTATAAAATGTGGTACACAATACTTGTGTGAGAGTAAAAATGGGACTGGTAACTTAAGAAGACATTTGCAAAATTGCAAGAAAAGAAATCTACGTGACATAGGGCAGCTCATATTGCAAACCACCTCAAATTCTTCTATTGCTATGACTGATCATACGTTTGACTCATCAGAATTTCGTGATTTACTTACTGCTTGCATAATTATGCATGATTTGCCCTTTCAATGTGTTGAATGGTTGGGTGTTCGAGCACTTTTGAGCTATCTTCGTCGGGATGTTCAACTATTTTCTAGGAATACAACAAGGAATGATTGCAAGAAATTATTCAATAAAGAAATTTCAAATATTCGTTCACAGTTATCTAAGTGCACTAGCAGAGTTTGTGTTACATCTGACTTGTGGACATCTATAAACACTGATGGATTTATTTGCTTGACCGTGCATTTTATTGATAATGATTGGCATCTACATAAAAAGATCATTAGTTTTTCTTTTATGCCACCACCTCATGATGGTATATCGCTTTATGAGAAATTGCAATGTCTTTTTATTGAGTGGAAAATAGAGAATAAGCTTTTCAGTATTACATTAGACAATGCTTCTGCAAATAATGTTTGTGTTGATTACTTGAGAAACCAAATGAATTTAAGGAGTGCCCTTCTATGTGAAGGTGAGTTTTTTCATTTAAGATGCTTGTGCTAAGGATTGGTTATATGGTGACAAGGGTGCATATCAACTTTTACTTTATTCAATATCTTGAATGATTACAGATTTACAATTAGTTATGATTATGAATATTTATTTTTATTTGTTGCAGTTTTGCATGACCCTGAACTTGAAGGTGTGACTGAAGATATTCTTGCTTTAACAGTAAATCGAGTTGAAGATGAACCTGGGGAAAGTTAAGTAATATATGGTGTGACTGAAGATATTATGCAATTAGCCAACTACTATAAATTCTGTCAGTATTTATGTATTATATGACCTGGGGAAGTTCTTTTACAGGACCTGCACTTTTCTTGAATATTTCTGTTATTAAGCTGCTACTGAAAAGTGAAAATTGACTTAAACCGTCTTGTGAGTTGGGAATGAGTAATTAGATCCAGCTGCTGTTTTGGATTTTCATCTTCTGTGAGACCTGCTGTTTTGAATATCTGTGAGATCTGCTATTTTCCCATACATTCATCTGGTTGTTTTGAATATCTGTGAGACCTGCTGTTTTCCCATAATATTTAACCTGTTTTGCTGAATTTGGATCTATCCCCTCTTCTCCTGCATGGCTGATTGGCTGCATAACTGCAGTCTGCATTCATATTTCCTGATGGTTTGTTGTTTGCCTATTGTACTATTTGGGATTGGGAAATGTATGTGAATAAGCTATTTCCTGCTGTCTGCATTTATTTTTCCTACTATTTCCTGCTGGTTGCTCTCAGAATTCATTATTTGATATATTTTAAATATTAAGAGAATAGCTGAATAGGCGATGATGATATACCTTCTAAAATGAATGTGGGAAGATGAAAGCTTGGAGGCTGGACTGCTGGAGCATTAATGTGATATTACAACCAATAGGCATTTGTATTTACTTCAAAAGAGCAGATACTATCTAATTAAGTGATCAGATACTAAGTGAGTACAAATTGTTTCCTTGGATGGTAAAATTATTGAATTGGAGGGTTTAATCTGAGCCATGTATTAGTCTATTAGATAATAAATACTTAGAATTTTATACTTGTTTAATTAATTTTATTGCAGTTATATCTCTAAGATGATAGGTGATTGAAGAATTGTTTACTTTTATACTTGTTTAATTAATTTTATGCTGGACTGCTGGACTGCTGGAGCAGTGGAGCCTAGAGGCTGGACAACCAGGACTGCTGGAGCCTGGACAACCTGGACTGCTAGAACATTATTACCTGAAAGCTTGGAGGCTGGACTGTTGGAACCTTTGTGTTTGTAAAGTGTTTGTAAAGTGTTATTTGTAATTGTAATTGTAAGTTTGTATTATTTGTAGATTTGTAATTGTAAAAAATTGTGAAATGTAAAAGTTTTAATTGTAAATGTAAGTGAATAAGCTGCTGGATTGATCAGGTTTGTAAACTGTTGGACTGATGGTTTGTTGTTTGTCTATTTGGGATTGGGAAATGTAAGTGAATAAGCTATTTTTATTGTAAAAAATTCATATTTCCTGATGATTGGCCATTTAAAACCTGTTTTAATTTTTTTATAGTGCAGACGGGTCAAACGGGTCGGGTCGGGTTGACCCGGACCCGAAGCGGGTCGGGTCCGAGTTAGCATAAATGACCCGTTTCAAGAAATGGGTCGGGTTCGGGTTGACCCGAAAGAGGTCGGGTCAATTTCGGGTTGGAACCGAACCCGACCCGTAACCTGTTTCTGACAGCCCTATATGCCGCTGATGATTTTTCTGACGAATTCCAATTTTTTGATTTGAATGAATTGTTGTGCTGTGATATCAAAAGGGAGTTATAAGGGGAGGATTCCGTTGTCTGGGTCCGGAAAATCTGAGAATCAGTTCTGTTCTGAAAATTTCGTATATCTGTTATGTTTTGGTGCTTCAAGCACAAAGGAAGACATAAGGGGCCAGAATCCGTTGAGATTCTGTCAGTGTCAGGGGAGGGAGGCATAAGGGGCCAGAATCCGTTGAGATTCTGTCAGTGTCAGGGGAGGGAGGCATAATGGGTCAGAATCCGTAGAGATTCTGTAAGGGTCCGGGAATCTGAAATCTGATGTGTTCTGATGTTGAAATGTGATTTCATCTGATTTGACATATGTTATGTACTATTTTGTTTGTTCTGTACGATTCTGTCTGTTGTGTGAATCTGACTTGAATATTCGGTTATGAAGTGAATTCTGTTTTATGTATAAGTGATTTGATTTCTATTTGATTAAATATTTGTATTCTTATGACTATGATTTCTGTACGATTATTTGAATTATGTACGGCTATTTGAATATCTGCTTCTGATATGTTTTCTGATGTAAATTTTTGGAGATTTGGATTGGTGAGTGTAGTCTTGCTGAGCTGTTAGCTCATCCTTATTTTCTGCATGGTTTCTAGGTTCTGGGAAAGGGAAAGAAATCTTAGACTAGAAGTTCAGTGTCTGATCTGTGATTAGGTATTTTGCACTTTTGATTTTTGTTCAGTCATGACTTTTCTGTTCTGTTCTTTCCGTCTATAGCCATGCACTGTATTGTACATGATTATTTTGATGAGAAAAAAGAAAGAAGGAAAAATAGTGGATGCATTTCTGTATATTTGGATGTTTTTAGCAGCTTTGTATTTTCTGTATGTTTGTTTGAATATCGGGAAGAAAGTTCTGAAGCAAGTTCCAAAACTAGATCCTGGATTTCAAGTTCCGACGTGACTCGATGCGAGCGGGTTTCGTTCCAATCGGGTTGGGTCGTGACAGCTATGGAGAGTCAGGGTATTGATGTTATGGAGTAGGGGTGCAACCGAGTTAAGCCGGCTCGCCAGCCGACTCAGGCTCGACTCGACAACAGGCTCGACGAGCAGAGCTAAACGAGCTCGCGAGTCGAGCTCGAACACAGTTCCGAGCTCGAATGCTTAACGAGCTCGAGCTCGAACAGGCATCCGACTCGACTCGTCGGCTCGACAAGCAGCTTGACTGGGCGGGATTCACGGGATCGAGCTCGGGACGACGACGAAGGATTAGATCTCTACAGCGGAACTTGCAACGGACGTGACGACGATGGCAAAGCTCGAAAAGAATGTGATGACGACGCCGAAGCTCGGAATGGACGCGACGAGATTGAGCTCGGAACTCGGAGCTCACGACGATGAAGCTCGGGACTACAGATTAGACGCGACGACGACGACGATGACGACGAAGCTCGGAATGGACGATGACGATGACGAAGCTCGGAGCTCGATTGAGCGCGTGACGACGATGACGGACGCGTCGTCGTTGGACACGACGACGAAGCTCGGAGCTCGATTAAATGCGCGAACGAAGTGATGACGGACGACGTCGTCGTTGGACTCGACCTTAACATAATACGCGACGTCGATGGACGTCTGCACGGCAGCGAAGGCGAGTACGCGACGACATTTTGAGCTCGAATTGAGCTCGACGAGCCCCTCGACACCAAAACGAGTCGAGCTCGAGCTCTGATTTTGAGCTCGACTCGAGTTCGAGCTCGAGCTCGGTATCTGAGAGTCCAGCTCGACTCGAACAACCCCTGACTCGAGCTCGACTCGAATCGTTTGCATCCCTATTATGGAGTAAGTATCGAGGGTCAATGTCAAGAGGGCGTCTATCGTCGATGCTGAGAGCGTGCTAGTCATCGATGTTAAGATGATGTCTGACAAAGATGAGCTGTTAAGCTGTGGGTATGGAAATTTATAGTGTTGAGCATCAATGTCAAGACAGTGTCAGATTTTGATGTTGAGATGGTTTTGAAATGTCGATGTTATAATGACGTCGTCGATGTTGAGATGATATTGAGCATTATTGTGAAATCAAAGTCACGACCCGCCAAAGAGAAGTGAAAATGAGATTATTCAATGAATGTGGTATTGAGTGCGAACAATTGATTTGATGTTGTAGAGAGGAAATAAGAAAATTATTTTATATATTTTAAATAAATAAAAATTTTAAATACAAGAAATTATATTTTAGAAAACTTCATAAAATATTTAAAACATGCTTGTCTAATTTGTATTTATTATTTGTTTAATCGGACACTTTTTTTGCTTGTTTACACGTGTTGGAGATGTATCAAACTGTGTTGTGTTGGATATGTGTCGGACACTGTATGTCTCTTTGAGGAGAACTGTCGGTGCATCATAGGCTACTACACTCTATTAGATTTGATTGTGAAAAGCTTCAACTCATTCTAGAAATTTTTAAAAGCACCCATAAAATTATAGTCAAATAAAGTATGGTAGTGATATGTAAAGGAAAGAGGTAAAAAGTTTTCCTAAATTCACCCTTAGTATTATGTATTTCAAATGAATTCCTTTTATACACTATAATGTCTATTTTAAAAGTTAATTATAGGAATCGGGATAGTAGTGGATGTAGAGTGGAGTATAAAATTATCTAGTTGTATATGACTAGGGATATTATGATTGCTATTTAGATCATTATTGGTGAGTATATTTTGAATGTAGTTAATGCTTATGTTTTTTAAATCTGATCAAAATATATATTAAAAAAAAACCAATTATTGGAAGATATGGATGAACTATTGTGTTGTATACTTGAGAAGAAAGAATATTTATTATATGTGATTTAAATGCGGGTAGTGAGCTAAGCTAATATTATAATTTTTTATTATTTATAAAACAAGTTTAGGAATAAGTAGAAAATGAGATGATATATATGATGGGATATTAGAGGATTCTAAATATGAGATAGAAATTTATTGGGTGGAGAACGCATGCTTTAGAAAAGAGAAGAGTATTTAGTTACAAAAGTGGAGCTTCGAAACACAAAGAAATTTCTTATTTGAAAAAAAAAAATTCTTGTAGGTATTATAAGGTAATTCTAAGAGAATTTGATCCCCCAACATAGGGTAGGAGTTATGAATGCATATTTAGAGTGTAAAGATAACAATCAAAATAAATAATTGATATAGAAATAGAAGGTAGAATTTAAATGTTAAGAAATCAATAATCTATGAAGATATATTACTACAACAACAACATCATGCCTTTTTCTCACTATGCGGGGTTGGCTACATGATTCCTTTTTCTCCATTGTGTTCTGTTAAGAGTCAAATTCTCATTTAAATCTAATAAAGACATGTCATTTTTGATATTTTCTAACCAAATATTTTTACATCTAGTCGCCTACCTCTACACTTATTAAATTCTTTGATCTCCTTATTTCTCCCAGCCTTAGCCTTCTTAGTTTGCATGAATGCGTGATTTTCAATTTCCAAGACCACGCCTTAATTTGCACATGAACTCACAAGCAATCTAATTAAACCCCCGATAATTGCTGCCCAATATATAAGATTTTGTGGAAGTAATTTTAAGACCAAATCAGATTCATCTTTTTATTTGAAATTCTACAAAATAAAAACAATCCAACGCCTTTTTTAAACT